ATATAACAGTTTTTAGTTTGAGTCAGAGAAAATTTACGGGTATTTTTTAAGGATATAAAACATGAAATATAAGTAGATATTCAATGTACGCCACCCTCTTGTAACAACTACTACTACTCTGTATTTTGAACAACATAATAAAAGTTTATTTAAGTCTAGTGGATATTCAATTACATAATTGGTTTGTGAAACTCTCTTAAATAAATCCAATTTTATTGAAAAAAAATCTAATTGAAATAAATTTATAAAGTTACGGTATTTAGTTTGATTTGGAGAAGATTTTAATTAAATTCTTGTGACTCAATGATTAGAACGATTTTTATTGAAAATAAACTAATTTATTTGTTGATGTAGCAGTTTTCAGTTTTTTTTTATATACAATTTTTACATTATTTTATACATTTTTTATTATTTGTTTTCTAATGTGTCTGCCTCAGCTTCGGTTCTTTCGGCACTCTCCTTGGAATCGGTATTTTGAGCGGGTTTGTTGGTTTTTTTTGATGTTCTATGTATTCTAATTGTGATTTGGCATCCAGTTCATAATTCATGTTTTGAATTTTTCAATGTTATTTTCTCTTCTTATTTCCTCTGGGACCCTGTTATAGTGTATAACGACCTGCAGCAGGAAACTCCTGTTCATTATATTGGTTAAACTTTTTTCCGTCCTTATGTTCCGTCTTGTTCTCGTATTATTGTTCTTTTTAATAAAAATGTGACCGTCGAAATAGAAAAATACAGGCAATACCTTCCATTTCTTTTTGTTCACCCTCCAGATCCTGAACTTAATAAAATCAAACCGAATTTTATATTATATACATCTTGCTCATGGCTAATTGGAAACATTATTATTTTTTAGCTTTGTTTGTTGTTTTTGTAATGCGTTTATGTTTTCGTTTGATTTGGAAAAGTCTACAGATATATTCGAAGAATGTAAAATACGAGAAATATACATGGAAATCAAATTATCTAATTAGTTCGAGTAACTAACTGAAATCAATCCAAGTAAGTATTATAATACTAGAGTTTTCGGTTTAATTTGAAGAAGTTCACAAGCAAATTGTAAAGACATAAAGCTTTTTACATCCATACTATTTCCGTGCTTCCATCGCTCTTTGGACACCTTTCAAATGTTAAGATCTATCATCTTCCAAAGATTATAAAGGTTCTTACTGTCGATAGTAGTTATATCTATATATATTAAGAACATTTTTCAATTTCTTTTAAGTTGAATAATTTTCAACTAGGTTCTGTAACGAATTTGTATTATATTTATTAAAAATAATATTCATCAAACAATCATTTATTATGAGTTTAAGTTTTTTTTTTGTTGAGAAAAAATGATTGTCACGACAAAACTAATGACAGACTTCACATGACAAAATCAATGTTTTAAACGACAGAAAAAGAAGATTGAAATATTGACCGAAAACATCTCAAAATATGTGGCACGTCAAACTAAAAGTTCGAACGTCAGGAAATCAGTTGATTTAAACAATTTGCAGACATATACGTTTCCCTATTCACTCTACTGCCTTAGTGTTTTCAAGTTCAGTTTTTGTTGTATTTAACAAAAACGCATATAATCAATTTGCAGACGTATGCATTTTGATGTTAATGTAGTGCCTTACGTTCCTCAAGTTTGGTCTCAAAATCAGTAGAGAAGTATACTACTTCTATAGCGTTTAAAATATTTATATATAGGATTTCATATAATATTGCAGAAATACATAATAATTATAGCAGAAAAATGTACAATTTTAATTCTTTGTTGTTTGTATATGTGTACATTTACCAATATAATATATTTACTTCATTAATGCACCAATAAACATTTTTAGATTAGTCTAAAGCAGTTGTTTCCAAACTTGATGTTACTACGATAAAACTTTAGCAGTCATTTGGAAAATTGCTCACTGTGACTAATATTCGCGCCTACCCTTAGAATCCCAGTAGACTTGTTTGAAAAACGCTGGTTTAAAGTACTTAGGATATAGGACCACATGTATAATAATATGAAAGTAATGTAAACCCTCAATGATAATCTCAATTTGTAAAATAATATTGCAGAAAGACACAATAATTATAGAAAACAAGTATAAAATTTTAATTCTTTGTTGTTGATTTAACTCAAGTAATTACCATCAAATTTGTAATAAAATATTTAGTAAATGTCTACATTTACCAATTTAACCCATATCTTTTATTTTTAGATTAGCCTAAAGTACTTAGGATATGGGATCACATGTATAATAATATGAAAGCACTGTAAACCCTCGATGTTAATCTATGTAAATTTCAATTTAGATTTGTAAAATTGCGGAAACTTCGTCCGACCGTGTCGTGAAAACGAAAGGGTGGAAGAAGAGCAGGTAGAACGAAACGTGGTACAGGTACATACAACAGCAACAACAACAAAAAAAACAATTAAAGTTCTGTTATCGTGCACACGTGATTAGCATTATCACGGAGGCTCGGGGCACGCCGGAAAATCAGAAATTAATTTATTAACGTTCCCGCAGCGCCCATCGGAGTCACGTAATCTTTTTAATCAATCTGCTACACTCTGATAACTGGAAGCAACAACTTGGACCTAATTAATTAGGATTTTCAACTGGCGTATTGAACATGCCATCAGAAACCGTACCAAGAACTACAAGAAAAACTAAATTAAACTAGTTGGAATGATTTCTTCAAACAAACAATTATTTCCAATCGATGTAATAATAGGTTCGTTCGCAGCAGCTTTTTGATCCAATAACGTCGTAAAAGTCAAATTTATGAAATGGCAATCGTATTTATGGGCAATTAATAATGCGACGGTCCGATGCGCCCGTATTATTAAATATGGGCGTACGAACGATTTCTAATAAAACATTTTATATGGCTTAATTTAGATACTAGACTGTTATGGATGGCGTTCGACGATCACACTTTGACCTATATTGGTGGAGAGACCAAGGAAATGCGAAGTCAACTGTAAATCAGTGCATATAACGTGAAAAGTTATGAAATCAATTTTGTAACGTTACGTTTTTGATAAATTCCGAAAGGTTAAAGTGAACAAAATAAATTATTAATTGAAATCCAATTGTATAGAACATACAAATGGATATATTCATTTTTTACAATAGATTTAATTGAAAATCTGAGACTAATTTCCACTAATTTATACTAATTATAGTTAACATTTTGAACTTATATTAAATTATATTAAAATTTAATAATACAAATTAGTTTGATTCATGACCCAGAGCAGTACAGACGTGTTTGATAGCAGCATTGTGATAAAAAATATCAATTTTTTGGCTACGTTTGGGATGGAGTGTGTACTGTGTGATCGCAGTTCATTCTTGTGACCATGGAGCGGGAAGCAGAGGGCACCAATACATCATCTTGCCCTTCAGAGGCCGAGGTTTTCAAAACGCCACAAGAAGACAGTCTTTATTTTGAAGTCAGAATACCCTAAGGCTGTGGTTTGTTGAGTATCTGATCGATATGCGGGATTGGGGCCACATCTTGTCCTACGTCGAGAGCATTCCTCCGAAGGAGCCATCTCAAGTTGTCTACGGTGGAACACAGGTTCTGCAAGAGGATCGGGACAACCAACATACAAGATGCGCATGGTTCTATATGTTCCAACAGGACCAAGTGCTCCAAATACCAGGGCCAACATCCGATACACTTCGCCACTTCCCTCACGATGTATAGCAAACAACTCGGAGAATCTTGCTGCATGGTTTTCCAAATGTCCGAAGAGGTCAACAAAACCCATACCGGGTATACCTAACATCAAAGTAAAGCCACATAATAAAAATACGTGTGATCTACCTAAAGACCTTCAGGACAATAGAATTCACAGGCCAGTAACAATACATGACCACATAGTTATCACTAGAAAATAAACGCACCAAAGAATTCAGAAAATCGCGCAGAGTTGCTGGAGCGCTTGAAAAGACGATTTATAGACAACTTTAATGTTGAAACACGCGTCTGCTTTTCGGAACATCATGTTTATGTTCTAATGTTCGATGTTGATGACCGGGAGCGGGAATTAATAATTTCACTACAAATCTAATTGGAAGAACTTCGATAAATGTCGAATTATAAAAAAATGTAGTTCATAGTTTGTAGTTCATTTTCGAAATCTAATTGGATTGAAACTATTAATCAATATTTTTTAATGGAGAATTTCTGTATTTCATTATTTCAATTTCTTTATTTCAATTAAAAAAAAAATAAATGTTTCGAATTACAAATATATACTTTTAAAAAACTATTAATATTTGTTTATATCAAAGTTTGTATTTATTCTAATATTCTAAGTTTCGTAGTATTTTTAAATTTTGTAAAGTATTCATATTTTTTACAGCAAATCTAATTAGAATATCTATTTGAAACGTAATTTCATTAATATAAGTATAACTATATAACATAACATATAAAACATAACTAAAAGTTTCATAGTAAGACTAAAACATGCAAAATTATTACAGAAAACTATTCCTTTTTTGGATTTAGATTAGATTTTAAGTATCCAATTTGAAATACTTCATCAATTCCAATCAAATACGCTATTGATTGAATAAATATAGAATTTTAGTGCACAATTGAATTATAAAAATCTTAATGCACTTAATCTTATTAATAACTAATAAAATATGTATTAATTTACAGCAAGCCAATAAAACGATTATTTCATTCACAATCAGTATTTATTTTATCGTATTTAGATAAATTTATTAACAATTACTACAGTATTTAGTTAAATCATTTTAAAAAAAACTTGTACAATTACTAAAAAATAAATATTACATTTTACTAAAATCACACAATAGTTATATTATACAACTATTTTAATTTGTTTATTAGATTCATTAGAAGATTCACTGTAAATAAAATATTACTTTGAGATCTCTCACAATACTTTCATATAAAAACAATGATCGTAATAAAAAAATAAATATTTTTTTTATAATAAATAAAGAGATTATTAATCCTTACTAGATATATACGTGCGTTATTCCTTAAGTAATTTTAACAATAATAATTCCGCAGTAATTCAATTGTTTTGGTAAATGCAACTTTGATACTCGACTTTGGTTTCTATGCACTTATTACAAAAAAAAATGTATATAAAGGTGCGTATATACTGTACATTCAATAAATATGGATTCTATGTACAAATGAAACAAAAATAAATAGTTGTTCTCTTTTTGATCATAAGTCTAGGTTTAAAAAAAAATGAAAGATTCACGGTGCGTAGATGTGCGTGTACAGTGGCCTCAATTTAATCCCATAATCGCGCTTCATGGAATTTAGGCCATCTATCATCTGTCTATTCAATGAGTTGTGTAACTTCTCGTATCGATCGGCGCTGAAATAAATTATGTAAATGTATAAATAATTCTATAAATTATAATGTTCTTACCTAGGTTTCTCCTTTTTGTGCAAAAGCATAGTGTATTTGCTTAAATCAGGTGAAAATCGGTAAGGTATATAATCTTGGTTTCTCAATCTCCTGAAATATTATGAAATTGATAATTACTTTTGATAATTGTGTATTGAGAAAAAAAAAACGAACGTGTAGAAATCATCGTCTTCGCCTCCCCAACCATCGTACATATTGGACATTCCATTGACTGCTTCGAACTGATTAGTTTGTATTGAAATAACGCCGCCCATTAAACCTAAATACGGTAAATTGAATCTATAAAACAAAGAAATAAGTTACAATGCGCATATTTTGAAATTAATTAACTTTACCTGAAAGTGTCTAAAGAGCTAGACATATGTCTTGGAAATTTAGAGCAGGCGTAAATGTTTCCTGATGATAATGGTAACAAGTCGACATCGTGCAAAATGAGGCAACTGAAGTTTTGCTTTATGGCTTCGAGCGCGCCTACATTGAACATCTTCGCCCGATTGAAGAGGCCCGTGTTGTTTTGCTCCACGATGAATATCTTGTAGTGAATTAATAATTTCTGCAGATAATGGTGAATGTAATTTATGAATATACTCAGTTGCTCCTCTCTGTTGCGGTAAGGCACCAGAATCGCCGTTCTGTAGAGAGGATTACAGTTCGCAGGACGATATTCTCCACCTGAAACACATTCGTATTAGAATTTGAATAATATCAGCAAAGCAGATGTTTACTGAATGTAACGATTAATACTAAAATACAAGATATTTGTTATGGCGTATTTGTACTCAAATCATTTATTAAAGTCAGTAGTCTTAATACTAGAATATTCACTCAAAACTCGAAAGATCAAAAAACTTTTTGATGACCTATTCATAACGCAAATATAACTAATAATAGTACAAATGTTATATAATTAATATGTGGAATCAAAAAAAAAATAATATAGTTTTCATATTAAAGTTGCATATTTAAGCTGTAATTCGAAGTACTGAAAAATTAACGCTTTAAAAGGAAATGTCCTCACATATTTGTCATTTTCTCCGAAACTATAATAAATAGAATAGATCTAAACGATACATATCAAACTTGGATATTTGGAGAATTTAACGACTATTCACATATTATTGTGGTTGCATCCGTATAGATGTAATTAAATCCCTAAAATGAAGTGTCTTCACATATTTGTCATTTTCTCAGAAACTATAATAAATAGAATAGATCTAAAAGATGCATATGAAACTTGGATATTTGGAGAATTTAACGACTATTCACATATTGTTGTGGTTGCATCCGTTTAGATGTAATGCGGAGTACTGAAAAATTAAATCTCTAAAAGGAATTGTCTTCACATATTTGTCATTTTCTCAGAAACTATAAGAAATAGAATAGATCTAAAAGATGCATATTAAACTTGGATATTTGGGGAATTTAAAGACTATTCACTTATTGTTGTGGTTGCATCCGTTTATATTTAATTCGAAGTACTGAAAAATTAACTCACTAAAAGGAAGTGTATTCACATATTTGTCATTTTCTAAGAAACTATAATAAATAGAATAGATCCAAAATATGCATATGAAACATGGATATTTGGAGAATTTAACGACTATTCATTTATTACTGTGGTTGCATCCGTTTAGATGTAATTCGAAGTAAAGAAAAATTAAATCTCTAAAAGGAAGTGTCTTCACATATTTGTCATTTTCTCAGAAACTATAATAAATAGAATAGATCTAAAAGATGCATATGAAACTTGGATATTTGGGGAATTTAACGACTATTCACTTATTGTTGTGGTTGCATCCGTTTAGATGTAATGTGGAGTAATGAAAAATTAAATCTCTAAAAGGAAGTGTCTTCACATATTTGTCATTTTCTCAGAAACTGTAATAAATAGAATAGATCCAAAATATGCATATGAAACTTGAATATTTGGGGAATGTAGCAACTATTCACTTATTAGTGTAAAGAAAAAGGTAACACTCAAAAAAGCAGTATTTAAATAATTTTATAATAAAAGTAATAACTATTAATAGCATATAATAAATTATAGTAATATTTTCTAATTAGTATTAAATCACAGATTGTACTTTTTTAATTAAAAATATTTATAAAAAAAGTTGTGCTAATTACTAAAAAATAATAAAAGTAATAATGAATTCTTCAAAATTGAATATAATAAATAAAGAACAATTCCTTTTAGAATAGATAAATTTATTGAATTAAAAATCTTTGAATTATTAGTGCAAAGTTTGAAATAAATTTTGAATATTTTATGATAGGCAACACATTATACATGTAAGTCAAGATAGAGAGTAAAGCATAAATAATTAGTTTCTCCTTGATCCTATTGGTGTTTAAAAAACGATTAGGAAGTAATCTGTAATACGTGCAGTTAATTAAAATATTCTAATTAGTTTCGCTCGTTTGGAAAGAAATAAACAAGCAGAGTGAGGGCATTCAGTTCCTCGTTGTTGGCAGGAGTGGAGAACACGTATTGTCAAAACCAGATGATAACAAATAGTTGAGTGAGTTGAGTTGCAAATAGTGTAGTGTTAAGTGTAGAGCAGTTAAACAGTGCGTCGAAACGTTACCTTCGTTCGGCAAATGAAAGCCATAACTTTTGTAGACATCACCAGCATAGATTTCCACGTTATTTAAAAGGATTTCCTCGTAGTTGCAGTCTCCTAGGTTAGTTTCCTTCCGGATTCTTGGGTCCGGTATGAGTTCATTGAGTACCTCGGTATCTTCGATGTAGTCATAGTGTTTGGCATGTCTATCCGGATGGTACACGGTCGTAGCAATTATGAAGACGACTATAACTATGATTAATTGCTTTAACATTGCTTTTATAACGAAAGTAAATTCAATTTTGACAGTTTAGTGTGAATGTATGCAATCGTTTGGTGGGATTGACGTGGAGGTTACCAAAACATGCGCATTGTAACCTTACGTGGCAAAGCCCTGAAAGCTGACGACCAGTGATGAGTTTTATTTCTGTTTATTTATTAAATTAAATCATAGTTACTTAAGTTTATGTAAGTTTTAACTGCTACATTTCGGATATTCGTACTTTTATCTCCAATCCACTATAGTTTTCTTTGTTTTGGTTTGTCTGGAATCACTTAAATTAAAGAATTAACAATTTCCCATTTAATAATTAATATGTAGGGTATTGATATACTTTCCATCACGCGATTGAAACTTATTGAATTTTGTTTAATAAACGCCAATTAAATCACATTTGTCAACAATTCTTTGTAATTTACATTTATTTTATCTTATTTAAATATCATTTTTTTTGTTTAAATATTTTTTGGAAATAATTAAATTAATCTGTTTTGCAGAAGTAAACATGAATCCACAGTACATGCAATATGCGGGTGGAGCTCAACAGCCTCCTCCGCAAGGCATGAACAGATTGCCACCATCACAGTCTCCGGGTGGTTTCCAGAATGTGCCACTTGGCCCACCAAAGCCAGGAGCACCATTCCCACCATCTCAATTTGGACAATCGCAAAGTCCATCTCTACTTGGACAGCAGAACATTCGTCCACCAGCAAGTCAATTACCACCCAGTCAACTTCCACCAAGTCAGAGGCCACCAGGTGGTGATGGAATGCTGTCCATGCAAAATGGAGCTGATATTGTGACTAGCTCATTGTCCACTAATCCATCTCCATCAATACAATCACTCAATGAACCTGCAGTTCCATCACAAAACATTCCAACCATTGGAAACCAAATGCCTCCAACAAACGCTCCACAGGCAGGAAGGCAGTTTCCACCAATGCAGCACCCGTTGCCGAGTCAATCGCCGATGGGTGGACAGCAAGGGATGATGCCCAAACCTCCATCAACTATGCCTATTTCTTCGAGCATGACAAACCACACGATGCCGGAACAACCAGTTTCATCGGCGCCAACTTCGATGCCCGGTATGCCGCCAATGCGTCTACCAACACCGGGTCAAGGTGCTATGCCTCAGAGGAGTATGCCGGCACCGTTCATGGGAAATCAACCATCAGGACAGGTATTTAGTCAACCACCGATGCCTGGGCAACCTCCGATGTCTGCACCGCAAACTATGCCTGGATTGCAATCGAAACCGCCGATGCCTGGACAACCACAACCTATGGTTGGACAACCGCCGATGGTTGGACCACAATCTTTGAATCAACCGCCCATGCCTGGTCCAGGTCAACCACCAATGTCCAATCCTCAAGCGATGCCTGGACAACCTCCGATGTCCACTCCACAATCGATGCCTCCGATGTCTGGTATGCAGCCAAAGCCAGGACAACCTATGTCTATACTACAATCGATGCAAGGACAACCACCAATGACAAACCCACCATCGATGATGAGACAACCGCCTATGTCTATGCCAGGACAACCACCCATGTCTGGTCCACCATCAATGATAGGTCAACCACCTATGCCTGGCTCGCAACCGATGCCTCCGATGCCCGGTCTACAATCAAAACCCGATCTACCACCGATGTCCGGGCCTCAACCGATGCCAGGTCAACCACCAATGTCCTCCCCACAATCAATGCTAGGACAACCACCAATTTCTAACCCACAATCAATGCTAGGACAACCACCAATGTCTACTCCACAATCAATGCTAGGACAACCACCGATGTCCACCCCACAATCGTTGCCAGGACAGCCTCCAATGCAAGCAGGAGGACAGTGGCCGATGTCCAGGCAACCACCCAAAATGAATCAACCACCGATGCCAGGACAACCGGCTTTAATCGGACAACCACCGATGCCAGGACAACCGGCTTTAATCGGACAACCACCGATGCCAGGACAACCGCAGTTAATTGGACAGCAACCACCAATGCCAGGACAACCTCCAATGAAAACACCTTGGAATCCACCCAATAACTCACCGTACGGATCTAAACCAATGCAAAGCATGCCTCCTGGTCCTGTAAAACCACCGATGCCAGGACAACCCTTCAATTCGGCGATGCCTCCGCAAAATCAATTCAATCAACCCCCTATGCCGAACCAGTATGGAGCACCACCGATGCCCGGTCAATATCCGAATCCCTTAACCAATCAGATGCAAAACATGAGCTTATCAGGTCCATACAACAACAAAGCTATGAACGGAGACAACGGACCTCATATGCCTCCACCGCTGGGAAATCAACAGCAGAACTACATGAATGGCCCACAGCAAAAGCAAGGATACCCACCAATGCAACCACCGATGGGCGTTGGCCAACCGCCCATGCCTGGACAATACCCAGCGCAAGGAGGATATCAACAACAGCAGCAACAACAACAAAGGAGATTGGACCCTGACCAGATGCCAAGTCCGGTAAACACTTTATAAATACCATTCATTACCATAACTAGGTCAAATCAATAATCACAATGTGTTAACTGTAATTATTTCTTTCAGATACAAGTTCTTCAAGATGATCAAACCAATCGATCCGGTATATTCTACGTAAATCAGAAGGGTTTAGTGCCTCCACTGGTATCTACCAAATTCGTTGCGCAAGATCAAGGATTCGCAAGTCCTCGTTTCATCCGTTCGACTATGTACCATGTTCCAGTCAGCAATGACTTGATGAAACAAACGTCGGTACCATTTGGTCTTGTCATTAGTCCGATGGCAAGAACTATGGAAGGTGAATACATGCCTCCAGTTGTTAACTTCGGTGAGCTCGGACCGGTAAGATGCATCAGATGCAAAGCTTACATGTGTCCCTTCATGCAATTCATCGACTCCGGCAGGAGATTCCAGTGCCTCTTCTGCAAGGCTGCCACCGATGGTAATTAATAGTCTAATTTATTACTATTACATCGCAACATCTGTCGAATTCATTAATTGAATCATTATTCTATTTTCAGTTCCTGACGAATATTTCCAACATTTAGATCACACCGGTCAACGCATGGACAGATACGAGCGTCCGGAATTGGTATTGGGAACGTACGAATTCACTGCCACTAAAGATTACTGTAGAAACAACAAGATTCCAAAACCACCTGCGATTATTTTCGTAATCGATGTATCTTATAACAATATCAAATCGGGAATGATCCATTTGCTGTGCTCTCAAATGAAGGAGATCATCAAAAACTTGCCCGTTGATGCGAACCAGGAAAAGAGTAACATGCGCGTCGGTTTTATTACCTACAACAGTTCAGTTCATTTCTATAACATTAAAGTAAGTTTATGTTGTAAATTCTAATTAACTTAGTTTGTGATTATTATCTTAATTTATATAGTTTGTAATTAACTGAATTTACATTTACGCAGGGTAATTTAGCTGCTCCGCAAATGTTGGTGGTTGGAGATACCCAAGAGATGTTCATGCCTTTGCTCGATGGATTTTTGTGCACTCCGGAGGAATCTGAAACTGTAATCGACGCTCTCATGGAGCAAATTCCTGCAATGTTCGCCGAAACGCGCGAATGCGAAACCATTCTCATGCCGGCTATTGTAGCTGGTCTTGAAGCTCTGAAGGCTTCTGAATGCGCCGGTAAATTGCTCGTGTTCCATTCGACGTTGCCATCCGCTGAAGCTCCCGGTAAACTGAAGAACAGGGATGACAGAAAATTGCTTGGAACAGACAAGGAGCGCACGATTTTGCAGCCGCAAAATCAAGTATACAACCAATTGGGGCAGGATTGCGTGGGTTCTGGTTGTTCCGTAGATTTGTTCCTCTTCAACAACGCTTATGTGGATGTGGCTACCATCGGTCAAGTGGCGCGTTTAACAGGAGGCGAAGTCTATAAATACACTTACTTCCAAGCGGATTTGGATGGAGAGCGTTTAGTCAATGACATCATTACCAATATCAGCAGACCCATTGCTTTCGATGCTATTATGAGAGTGAGGACGTCGACAGGAGTGCGCCCAACTGATTTCTACGGACATCTCTTCATGTCGAACACGACGGATATGGAGTTGGCTTCCATAGATTGTGATAAGGGTATAGCCATTGAAATCAAGCACGATGACAAGTTGCAGGAAGAGGAAGGCATTTACATCCAAATTGCTTTGCTGTACACTTCCGTTTCTGGTGAACGTAGATTGCGTATTATCAATCAAGCACTGAAAACTTGCTCGCAGATGGCAGATTTGTACAGGAGTTGCGATCTGGAAACGATAGTCACTTTCTTAGCCAAACAGGCTACCTACAAACTGCTGGATAATAACCCGAAGGCGGTGAAAGACAACATCGTTCAAAGAGCTGCTCAGATGTTAGCCAGCTATAGAAAGAACTGCGCGAGTCCCAGCAACGCCGGACAACTGATTCTGCCCGAATGCATGAAACTTTTGCCGCTCTACGTAAACTGTTTATTGAAGAGCGATGCAATTTCTGGAGGTAATACTCATATAAATTCATCTCAATTACAATCAATTTACTTTCTTTAATTAATCTCCAGGCGCTGATATGACTGTAGACGATAGATCTTTTGTGATGCAAGCAGTTATGACTATGGACGTTCCAAACGCCATTTCCTATTTCTATCCACGTTTGATTCCTCTGCACGACATTAAACCCACTGGAGATGACAACGTCGAAATCCCGGAACCGATCAGGTGCACAGTCGAAAAAGTATCAGATCAAGGAGTCTACATACTAGGTATTTCATCAACTAAGAAAAAAGAAGCAATTGATAATCAATGAATTCATTTTTTTTACAGAAAATGGAATATACATGTTCCTTTGGATTGGTTTAGGCGCAAACCAAGAGTTCATTCAGCAAGTATTTGGTGCCCCATCTGCCGTACAAATTAACATCGATCGCATTAAATTACCCGAATTGAACAATCCAATGTCCGAAGCTGTTAGATCTGTGATCGATCAAATTAGAATCCAGAGACATAGATACATGAGGGTAAGATCATTTTGAATCCAAGTTTTGTAAACATTTTCATTATTTTGTTTTTGCATCTTTCAGTTAACTTTGGTGAGGCAGAAGGAGAAGTTGGAGAGCGTCTTCAAGCATTTCCTTGTAGAAGATCGTGGCCTTGACGGCTCCTCCGGCTACGTCGACTTCCTGTGTCACATGCACAAAGAAATTAGATCGTTGTTGAGCTAGCGAAGCGGCTGATCCATATCTACGAATAAGCAGATTTCATTTTACTCATTTTATTTTTTTATTGGGGTGTATGTATGCGAGAGATTACAGTGGATTAAGAAGAATAGTTTAAGATTATTATGTAAATATATATACGCTACCCAAAAGAAAAAAAACAGCAACATGGAAAACAAATTATTCATTTCTACAACTTTTCTAGGGAACAAAAAAACAATACGAAACTAAACTACACTATTGTAAATTGCTCATTTTTTCTTCTATATAGTATTACCACTTAGTAGAGAGATAGTTTATAAGTTGCATTGTTATTAATTTATTTTATGCTTTTAAACCAATGTTTCTAAATTTATATAATATATATATATATATTGTTTTATGTCAAAAAAAATTGCAAAATATATGATTGTGACAAGAAAATGATAATAAAAAAAATTAAGATGTATGATGCATTTGGAATGTAGTGCAGTTTAGTTTTGATACATTTTTGCCGGAAATATTAGATCGTCGACGTTAAATTGAATGTAGGAATTATTGTATTCATAATATATATATATTTTTATTCTTAACATTTTTTTTTCGCTAAATGGTTTATTACATTTATGTATTATATTAAGAAATATATACGGATTAGAATTTTATTTAATTTCAACCGAATCGTAACATTCAATCAATCTTCTAATTGAAATCCTTAAACATCGAAAATAGACTGAAATTAAATTCGTTATTAGGAACGAAATAAGTGAATATTTTCAATACAAAAAAAAATTAAGTTTACAGATGAAATAGATTTGCAAAAAAATAATTTTCTAAATTACAACCAGAAACATCAATACCTTAGATCAGTCCGGATTCACTATTTTCTTATACAAAAAGAATCGGTTTTATCTTTGTACAGTTCATTTTTGTATATATTTAGTTCCTCAATTAGTCCGGTTTTAAACAGTCCGAGATATTCGATAACCCGCACTTTGCCAGGAACGCATTTTAAGTGCTAAACGAAACAGCCTTAAACGAAGTTACATGAACATATAGTCAATTTTGTATGCTTTTTGTATGAATCAGCGTTAATCAAGGTCTTACTTTACAGACGGAATAGAATATTATATTATTAACAGTTTCGTACAGAAATCAGAAATATCTTCATACGCACGTTTTTAAATTAATTATACCATGAAACTATACAAAGAGAACTTTTTAAATGAAACCCAATGAAACCATCAAAGTGTTAATTACAAGTTTATCTTTTGAAAGGCTTCCCAAGCAAATGCATTAGCAGTTTATGCGACTTTGACGCAACTTTTAACTATAGAAAATACTTTGTAACAATATGTATGTCAACACAAAAGTATAAATTAAGTAAAGTAAACAATAAAATCAATGGATAATTAACAATTAAATATATACAGCTTATCATTAACGTACAGTAAAAACGTGTATCTAATTGCCAATTACCATGTGTTAACGTGCACATAAATTCGCAACGGAATTTGCATATAGAGACTTTTCTGTGTTAAACTTAACAAGTATATTGTAATTAGGGGATTTATATCGTCCGACCGAATTGGTTTTAAAGCCGGGGATTTCAGCGCACGACGAAATCTTCCTTTGATGGCGGGATTATTGCAGTGATAGTTCCGAATCGGAGAATTATCTTCCATACTTAATAAGACTACAGTGATAATCATGCGTCATCACTTTGGATTATCGTCCATACATTTGAATGAACATCATCTTCCTAAATATTAAACGCAAATTTGGGTGTGGTATCTCCGCAATTCACGAGAATTTTCAATTTTTAATACACAAAATTTTATTTCTTATAACTTTAAGAAACGTAAATTTGGAAATTTAACAGTTTGTTCTTTAAAACTAGATTAGATTTAAATTATTTATTGTCTAGTTACTTAATAACAAAAATAATTTTGTTTTCAACAAATTAATATTAATTAAATTGATTTTTAAGCAGTTTTATTTCAGTCTTGAACTAGGAATTTTTTATTGAAATTTCTAATTAGCAATTTAATAAAAAAAGAAACAATATATTAGAAATAATAATTTTAATTAAGTCTTCCAAATATATTTGTATTGATTCTTCAAAGTTGCAAAGTAAAAAATATATAGAAGGAATTGTAGTTTCAGTGGGTGTTTCTTCATGTAACTAGTTTGTATTCAGTATGCATTCGGATGTCTGAAAGAATGGTAAGAAAATAGTTGAGTTTCAGGTGGCGTTCAGCATTAACAACCTCATCGAGGTAGATTGGTTCCACAATTTCATCAGTCGAAATGGCACACTGCATATTTCAGACGCTTCGAACGATCCATCCATCCATGGTAGCCGGGTCATCTCACCTCACTACTTCCATACTCCCCCATTCATACAAAAGAAGAAAAAAAATATCCTAAATGTTACAGCAAAATCAAGCAAAAAAGATATAACAATTGTTTTATAAAATATTATTACATCAAATCTAATATAGCATTTTTTAAATTATAATATTGTGAAATGAATAAATCACCTGAATCATTATAAAGAACCGTGTTTTTTTGTACATTAATATCATTTTTTCTTACATTAATTGTTTGATGAAACATGCAATATTTATAATTAGTTTACTAATTAAATAATTGAGTTAATTATACTTTATTAATACAAAAATCAGTATTTCTCTTAATTGAATTGATTGAAAATACTAATTTATAATCCATTGATTATTACATTTTATAGATGAAATTCTCATCATTATAAATTCGTTGAATGTTTTCATTATGATTCAACTATACTGACATGAATCTACTTTATAAATGTAATAAAGAATAAACTTAATAGTATAAATTTGGTATATTGTTAAGATTGTACCAATACCTAACATCAAAGTAAGGCCACTTAATAAAAAGACGTGTGATCTACCTAAAGACCTTTAAGTCAACAGAATTCACAGGCCAATAACAATACATGACCACATAGTTAACACCTATATTAACAAATAAACTCCCCAAAGAATGCAGAAAATCGCGCAGAGTTTCTGCAGCGCTTGATAAGACGATATATAGTCAACTTTAATGTTGAAACATGCTTATGTTTTTCGGGACACATGTTTATGTTCTAATGTTCGATGTGGATGACCGGGAGTGTCCTATGTATGTGAATCAGGGGACGGCCGGATTTTTCATCATAAAGGGTGGATAGTTCGTGCTTCGGGCGAATTTTATCATTCTTCAGCCGAATGCTTCAGAATATATTATTATTTATTTCATTTCGAGAAGATTTACTTTTATTTGGCTTAATTTATAATTTCATCTTTTTTATATGAACGTTTTACTTTTTTTTCAGAATGCATTGTTTTATATGAATTATTGTGACAATTTATGTTTTTTGTTTTTCTCGGTGGAAAGACTTAGGTCGATAGCCTTTTGGTTGCATTGTAACTAATAAATATTATTATCATAATTATTGTAAATTTTTTAACAAAAAATCAGTATATTTCTTTACCAATTTTAACTATTGTCATGATTTCCATTCAGTATACATTACTATTATATAACCATAGAAAACAGTGATTTGTGCATGTAATGATAATCATTTTGTGAACTACATTTTGATTATCTAACCATAATTCTGGTTTATTTTCTTAAATCTAATACTGAATGTTAGTTCCTTGCTCTTCGGTTAAATATGTTTTTTTTTGTATTATTGTTAAAAGTATATTACATAATATAAATTTGTTTATTATTTTTTTCTCTTGATCTTAATTCATTTAAAAAATAACGAAATTCCATTTGCCTCTGGTTTACAAATTACATTTCAAAATATCTTTGTAATCTATACATAATCTGTATTCAAGTTGATTGCTTTTGTTATTTATTATGAAATTACATTGATTCTACGTCACATCATTGATATTTTTGATAAATTATCTTCAACTTAATCCAGTTTTTCTTTCTCTCTATTCGTTTAAATTATATTTTTTTTGTGTGTTTTTAAATTTATATTATTAAACGTAATTCAATGTTTTTTTTCCATTCATAATTCTGATTTACTTACTCTAGTCAATATTTCATATTAGTTTCGTTCTTCTTCAATAAATGTGTATTCTTTGAAAATTTACTATATTTTTTCATTTATTTGAAAACTCATAAAATTATGAACATCTTTGTAATTTTTACATAATGAGGAGTTCTACTCACATATGTGACTGGTGATTTACAACATATGTGCAGAAGACTGCTTCTTTATGTTTTTGCATATGTATATAATCTATAGACAGATCGATTCTATTGTGTCTTTTATTTATATTGTGTGTTAAACTGCAGTTGTGGAGGTATCAGGTGTATGTTTGGAAGTATAACCAACACGTAAAAAAACGTAGTAGATTTGAAATTGGTTATTCTTGTTGTTTATTGTGAAAATAAATGCATTCTTTAACACGAACAAATGTTTGATTTGTTGTTAGTATAACTAATGTTTTTAAGATGAAGAAGAGAACCAAGAGTGCTTTATTAGGGCTCAAGAAACATAATTAGGAAGAAATTAATTCCTCGAAACATTATTTTGAATTATTTGAAGTATTTTCAAAGAATAATTTATACTTTCTGTTTGAGTTACTGATGAATATATATACAAAAAAATAAAATGATAGAAGTAAATGGTTTACATGCTCAATTTGCATATTATTATTCATGGAATAAAATCCGCAGAATTGTTTTATTGTGCGGTTAACACTTTGCATTATGTAACATCGCAGAAACTCATAACTAACGTGCTTATTTAAACTCTCACTCTGTGGCCACGTTAGTTGGCTTTCGCTTCTCTCTTCACCCTTCGCTCCCTTCCTCATCGGCCTTGCGTACAGCTCAAATGAGACATGGAGCATCCCTATTTATTTAATTATTTATTAGGAAACTTTGTCTAACATTTTCGTATATGCAAATATTTAGATGAACACGCATCTCTGTCGCCCTTCAAAGAAGTTATTATAAGCGGCCTGAAAATAATCTTTACCTCTATTAAAATTAATTACATGGAAGATAATTATTTTGCATATTTATTCAAAAATTTCTCAACGATGTATTCATATTATGCGATGTTTACGAAAGTGGAAAAATGCACACAAAAAATAATATTTTGTTGATCAACAAATAATTAAACTTTCAGTCT